TCTTGCACCTCGGCCTCCTCTGCCTCAGAATCTGTGTCATCCTCTCCATCTTCCAGTCCTTCCTCGGCCTCCGCTTGCAGAGCGCTGAATACGTCGTTTGCGTAAGGCACAAGGTAAACCGGTAGCGAAGCTGGAGGAGGGTTGGCAAATACGTCGGTGTCGGAGCCTTGGCCAAGGTGTTCGCAGGCAGACTTCCAGCCTGCTTTGAAGTAGATGTCTTGTGTTGCAAAGACTTGCTTCTTGTAGCTCTCCTCGGCCTCGTTAAAGCCGGCGGTGTTTGCAGCCCGGCAAGCTTTCTTCTTCGATTTCTTCAGGGTATCCACCTCGGTCTGGAGCTCGTTTTGTTTTTTCTCGGCTGCATCCAGCTGGCCGAGCAGTCTGTTATTGTCGGAGTTGGCCATCTCAAGAGAAGACTTAGCCCGGCCGAGCTCGGCTTGAAGGCTTTCAACCTGGCTGGCTGTGTCGTTGGCTTTCTGCCTAAGTCTGTGGATACGCTCCAAGACCAGGTTTTGTTTTTGAATGGCCTGCAAAAACAAAAGCAACGTTGATTAGATAAGAGACCGAGCAAAAAAGGAACCGAGCAAACACTTGTGAAATTTTCAAAGGAACATCAACTTACCCTGGCCATAGACTTCACCGACGATTTGACCAACCGAGTGTCGGGGACGTGGTCGCTGCCGACCACGTCGCTCGGTAGTAGCAGGGCTACACAGCTGGCATAAAAATATCTGCAAAAGCAGATGCACAGTGGTCGGCCGACCAAAAATGCAATTTGACCAAAATAGATGGCCGGTCGACTACAAAGAGTGCCGGTCGGCCAAACATTTGGCCGGTGGCAACAAACCTAAACATTGGGCCTCTAACCTTATACCGCCTAGAGTAAAGTCAGCTACCCAGTGTTAACGGTGATATGGCGGATACTTGGTATAGCCAGTAATCGTTGCAATCTCGGTGACGGTACCTAAGCACGGTCCGAATTGCTTCGACGTTGGAAAATTGATAGTTGGCTTGCAAGGCTTGGATTGCTGCAAAAGAAACAGGAAAAACCGGTTAGTTACAAAGTAAAGAATTAAGCTAACCGAGCAAGTTTGAGTGGCTTACATGAAGAACCAAAGTCCTTGTTTATGAACCAGCCCGGCACCTCGGCTGTTTCGTAATTGCCCGACACCCAGAAAATCATCGTCGTGAAGATCTTTATCTGGGTACCGGTCACAATTTTTTCCTTGCCCGGTCTGATCTTCAAGTAATAAGCCAAACCGTCCCCGGTATGGCCCATGTGTATTGCCTTAATATCTCGGCTAGACCCAAGTTGGTGCCTAGCCGATTGTTCAATTCGGTGAACGCCGTTGATTATTCTATAGGTATTGGTGGGACACTTGGGTGGGTGC